GGAAAGAATCCCAGAACTTGAATACTGTTTTTTCTAAGTCAGAAAAAAAAAAATTAAAAGGAACAAATGAAACCTTTGTGAAATACGGGATCATGTGAAGAAACCAAATCTGTGACTCATTGCCATCGCTGAAAGAGTTGGGGGGAATGCAGGCAACTTAGAAAACTTATTTCAGAATATCGTCATGAAAAAATCGCCCTTAACCTCACTAGAGAGACCCATATTCAAATTCAGGAAATGCAGAAAACCCCCGAGAGATACTACCAAAGAATACCATCCCCAAGACATATAATAGCAAGATTTTTCCAGCGTCAAAATGAAAGAAAAAAAAATGTTGAAGTATGCTGGAGAAAAGGGACAGGACCACACCTATAAAGGGAACCCCATCAAGCTAACAGCAAACCATTTAGTGGAAAACCTACAAGCAAGAAGAGACTGGGGACCTGTATTCAGTATTCTTAAACAAAAGAATTTCCAGTGAAAAATTTAACCTCTAGCCAAACTAAGCTTCATATGTGGAGGAGAAATAGGATCCTTTTCAGACAAGCAAATGCTAAGGGAATTTGTAATCATTGAACCTTCCTTACAAGAGGTCCTGATTGGAGCACTATAAATGGAAAGGAAAGACCATTACCAGCCACTACAAAAACATACTTAAGTACACAACCTATAGACACTATAAAGCAACCAAGCAAATGAGTCTGCCTAATAACCTGCTAACAACATGATGACAGTACATATCAATATTAACCTTGAATATAAACAGGCTGATGCCACAATTAAAAGTCACAGAGAGGCAGGCTACATCAAGAAACAAGACCCAATGGCATGCTGTCTGCAAAAACCATCTCACATGCAGTGACATCCATAGGCTTATTAAAATAAAGGGATGGAGAAAATGCTACCAAGCCAATGGAAAACAAATCAACAGTTGCGATTTCAAATTCCGACAAAACAGACTTTAAATCAAGGAAGGTCAAAAATGACAAAGAAAGGCATTACATAATGGTAAAGTGTCCAATTCAACAAGAATTCTAACTATTCTCCATATATATGCACTCAGCATAAGAGAACCCAGATTCATAAAACAAATTCTTAGAGACCTGCAAAAAGACTTAGATTTCTACATAGTAATAGTGGGAGTCTTCAACAACCCACTAACAGTATTAGGCAGACTATTAGGGCAGAAAATTAACAAAGATATTCATGATCTGAATAAACACTTGACCAAATGGGCCTAATAGAGATCTATAGAACTCTCCACTCCAATACAACAGAATACACATTCTGCAACATCACCACATGGCATGTACTCTAAAATTGACCACGCAATTGGACATAAAATACCCTCTGCAGATTAAAAATAACTGAAATCATACCAACCTCACTCTTGGACCACAGTGCAATAAAAATAGAAGTCAATACTTTAAAAATACTGAACACTGTAAATGAGATGGAAATTGAAGTACCTGCTCCTAAATGACTTTTGGGAAAATAATGAAAATAAGGCAGAAATCAAGACATTCTTTCAAACTAGTGAGGACAAAACACAACACACCAGAATCGTTGAGACAAAATCAAGGAATTGTTAAGAGGGAAGTTTATAGCACTAAACACCTACTTCGAAAAGTTAGAAATGTCTCAAATTAACAACCTAACAACACAACTACAGGAATGAAAAAAACAAGAGTAACCTCAAAGCTAGCAGAAGACAAGAAATAACCAAAATCAGAGTTGAACTGAAGGGCATTGAGAAACAAAAAGCCATAGAAAGATCAATGATTCCAAGAGTTGCTTTTTGAAAACATTAATAAAATAAACAGACCACTAGCTAATTCAAAAAAAGAGAGAGAAGATCCAAATAAACCCAACTAGAAGTGACAAAGGGAACATTATCACTGATCCCACAGATATATAAAACACCCTCAGAGACCACCACAAACACCTCTATGCACACAAACTATAAAACTAGAAAAAATGTATAAGTTTCTAGGCACAAAGAGCCCGCCAAGATTGAATCAGGAAGAAACTGAATTCCTGAACTGACCAATAATTAGTTCCAAAATTGAATCAGTAATAAAAAGCTTAACAGCCAAAAGAAGCCCTGAACCAGATGGAATCCCAGTCCAATTCAATGAGATATATGATGAAAAGCTGCTACCATTCCTATTGAAACTCTTCCAGAATATTGAAGAGGATGAATTCTTCCCCAACTCATTTTTTGAGGCCAGCATCATCCTGATACCAAAACCTGGCAGAGACCCAATACAAAAAGAAAACTTTAGGCCAATATTCTTGATGAACATAGATGTAGAAATCCTCAACATGTTATTAGCAAACCATATCCAGTATCACATTAAAAAGCTAATCTACTATGATCAAGCAGGCTTTATCCTTGGGATGCAAGTTTGGTTCAACATATACAAATCAATAAATGTGATTGATCACATAGACAGAACTAAAAAAAACCACATATGCATCTGAATAGATGCAGAAAAGCCTTTTGAAAATTCAACATATCTTTGTGTTAAAAATCTTCAACTAACTAGGCATTGAAGGGATTCTTTTTTGCTGAACATACAGTTGCAAAATTATTTGACATTTTCATAAGTATATGTGGAAACAATATATTCATAAATGTTCATGACTTTTATGATGTAATACTATAATGTTACAATGTAATTTAGTAATTAATTCAATGAAAAACCAATATATTATACAATTTAAGCATAATGTATATATTAGTGTGAAGTTTATAAAGTATGCTTATGACTATAACTTGATTTAATAATACTAAATCCTTTTAACGTAATATCCTTATTCCAACTTAAAAAATATTACTGATAAGGATACTGATGGTAAGCAATATTATTTGTCCAAAAATCAATCAGCTATTACATGATAGCTTCAAAACTAATTTTCTTCTCCTTCCATTAAAGAATGATGCATTTTTATTGACGTATGAGAAAAATTTCTAAAACTGTAGATGTATTTCTTGCAAGTCAGTAATAATATTATTAACTGCATTATTCTTAGAGTTCAAAATTTATTAAAACAAAATATTTAAATCTTAACTTATTAAAAAACTATTATGCTAAATGTAAATTTATATATCTGATTTAAAAGTAGTGAATAGCAAATATGTAATATTAGCATGTAATGATAATATATAATGAATAGGTATCTTTTCAAAATATGTATCTGTGGTATAAAATACTAACATTAGAAAAGAAAAATCACTTCTATTGAAAAATTCAATTTCTATAAAAAGATATGCTATATTTATTTTCAAATAGCCTTATAATATATTTACATTTAAATGATTTCCAATTAAGTATCTTACATTAAGACAATAAAGTCTTTCCTTATAGATGTTCAATTATCTACATTTTCTTAGGTAAAAATGTAATAAAAGAAGCCAAGCCTCAAAGACAGCAAACTAAAATGATTTTTGCATGCTTTCTCCCCTAACTTTATAGCTGTAACCAGTAACTTCTACTTATTATTTGCAGTAACTTTTTCATGCTACAATAGAGGGACATTTCGCAAAGGCATCAAGGGCTGTGTGAATATTTGATATGTTGAAGAGCTGGTCTGAAACCTTTTTGGTGGAAAATTCATTAGCAGTTGCTTAGCAACTGAGGTGTTTGGATGTACTGAGAATTGTTTGACATGTTTTCAGTGGAAAATACTTTCAAAATGAGTGAAAATTTGGGATTTGGGATTTGTCTGTAAAATTTCAAAAACATTAATTGTTTCTTATGAATAAAATATTATATTTGGAAGACATTTTGAAAGGAACATTATTAGGACTGAGTCTTTAAAAAAAACACAACCAAAGAAAGTAATTGTCAAATTAAAGTAAGGAGTACTTTTCTGCTTTTAAACCTCTGGAATCTAAATAAAATATCTGAAGTTATTTTTATAATAAATAATGCTTCAAAATTTATATTTGGAAATATTTACTGGTTTAGCTAGCTGATGTCAGTTATTTCATGTAAAATTAATGACAAACTAAGAGGGAAGATCTTTCAGTAGATATTACATAAAAAGGAACTTTATTGTCAGGAAATAACATTGATTTAAAAAATATTTGTTACTTAAAGACATTATTATGAAAAACTACTGTGAGAATAGAAATGTAAAATTAAGACTCTCAACTTGGAAAAATGTAAAAAATATGGAAGTTCATTAAACATTATTATTTAATTATTTATGTAATTGTGGTAAAAAATAGTTACTATTTTAAAACACACATCTTTAAGATTACTAATTGTGATGCTACTAAGAAAAGTCAGATAGCAATTTATCCTCCTTTAAAACTTAAGAATTTTGTATTTATTTAAATTCAGTGAAAACAATTATCAGAAACAATTAACGGCAATATAACCAGTAATCATTCTGATGTATTTTCCTTAGTGGTTATAATTGGCAAATTTTATTAACACAAACGAATGTACAGAAACCAATAGTATTCTTATATATAAACAATAACCAGTTAGAGAAAATAATGTTAGCGACTCCATTTATAATATCAACAAAGATTATTAAATACTTAGGAGTAAAATTTATGAGAAATGTACATGATCTATAGGAGGAAAACATTAAAACACTCCTAATAGACAAAAATAGAGTTGAACAGTTAGAAAATCATGCCTGGTTCTTGAACAGGAAAGTTTCACATGATTAATAGGTCATTTTCCCCAAGTCAGTTTATTAATACTTAATATCATTTCAATAATCCATACCAACCAGGTTCAATAGGAGAACTAGAGTCAGTGAGAAATTTGATGTCTACATTTATGGGTCTAAACTCATTGCTGGAAGTTCCTGCTTGATTTTCCCCATTTCACAGTATTCTCTCTCTTTTGACTACCTGCCTTGCTGACTTCAGTCCCCAGCATAAATACAGAAGCATAGTTTGCTACCACAGACTGTTTACTCCATTCTCACCATTGTATGAAGTGTAATCATTTGACAAATTCCTTTTTGTATCTTAGACATAGTGATTCTGCTCTTCTGATCAACCCTGATTGACACAGCCACAGTTAGAGAACATGGAAAGAGCTCCTCTTCATTAACTAATTTGATATTAACATTGCTTTCAATATTTCCAATGTATGCTGATGACCACAGGACACATTTGAATATTCCATGATAGCCATATTTTCCTTATGAATTTGTAAATTTAAACTGTATGCCTCTTATGGTGCAGATCGTAGTGATTTTTTTTCCATATCAGTTTATTCATTTACCCAGTTTACATTTTGTCTGTCTTATGGGTTTGTACCTGAATTATAACTAATATCTTTCCAGTATTTCTCAAATAATATTTTTGTGATATAAAGTATTACTTAATTCGTCATTACCTAAAAATCAGATTCTGAGTAGGAATTCCTAGAAATATATAAAGCTGATATTTTCATATTTTTATGAATTTCATTCTTTGGAATCAGTCTTTTTCCAGAATTTTAAAGTGGATAATCTAAAATTTATTTCTTTAATATTATCCTTAACAAATAAGAAATATGTAGCTATAGATTATGCATAATAATGAGAATTGTAGTTACTGAAATCAAGATAATCCCTTAATATATGTTTATACATTGGTGTATCATTTTAACGCTAAAAAGGGTAGAATAAGAAATCTTTTCACAACCAGAAACTGCTCTAAATGCTCTTGCTATTCTATGTTATTTAACCATCCACATAATTCCTCAAGCAGACATTGTTGTCCTTGCTGTACAGATGATTGAACTCAGGCTTAGAGAGAGTAGTAAATTGCCCAAGATGAGAAAGCTAATAGGTAGCAAGTTTGGCATTTGAGCCAAGGTCTGACTTTAACACATACTCTTAACCTCTTCAATGTAAAGCCTTCTTATAAATGGATTTCGACCCTAACACCAGTATACAATTCCTTTCACTCAAATAATTTCGGTAATATCCTTTGTTAGTCAACACCAATTCTTAGAAAATACTTTCGTGTAAAATATGCTTTCCTGTAACTTCTTCCTGAATTCCTTCGACTGTTCTCTGAAGTGACACCAAATCAACACTCTGCTTACCCACATGTGGACATTCCTAAATCTGTGGGGTTCATTATTGTCTCGCTTTTATAAATAGTTATTTTTACTCTCCTCACATGTTCATTTTCAGATGGGCAGCCTCCTGACTGTAGCTTGCCATTACTCTTCTTAGAAATGGAATGCCCATAGGTGAAAATAAATTGACCAAACTTCCAAGCATATTAATAGCAAACGTAGCAATAAACAAAAAACAATAATGTAATGCTCACCAGTTTTCCTTTGGCATTGAAACTGCCACTGTTTTAAACTGCATTAACCTGCTTGGAGGTCATTGGCATTACTCACTTGTGATCGTCAATGAGGCATGATTTCCCTGATACACTCATGAGAACCTGGTCCATAGTGGATATGCACTAATTATTGTGTAATAACTGAGTATACATTAAACGAAAATTATTTTTGAAGAAACTTTTCATTAGAAGAGCTACATCCAATAGAATTTCATTTCCCATGGTTTGGAAGTCTTTCCCGTATGTCTATCAGGTCTTGGTTTGGGATTGTTATTTAGAACTAAAGTAGTACTCTCTTTATCAAAATGACATCATATTGTCTTTTAATTATCTCAGAGTATAGCCCCAGGTACCATCACCCTTCCTCTTTCAACCACTCTGTCTCTGGTATTTTATATGTGTTTCCTGCTCAATTGTCTCTCAATGGATTTTCATAATTCTCAACATTTTTTTCCCATAGCTCTGGAAAACTATCTATGAAATCATACCTAATAAACACATCAAAGCTTTGGAGTTACTCTTACCCCAACACCTGAATTTATCCTGGGCATTTGGTTGGTGAAGCCTAGTCAAGCCCGTGTAACTGCAATTGTCTGGAAGAGTGAGTCTAACGTGTTAAAATTGCTACACTTCAGTGTTCTGAATGCATCCATGTGTTCCATGATATTGCAGGAGTCACAAGAAAGTGAATCACAAGATTATTAGAAAGTAGAGAAAGCACTGCCTTCTGACTTACCTAACACATTTTTTTCATCACCCTGTTCTGAGATTATAAGATCAGGAGTAACAGAGTCACTTTACAAAGATATTACAGTATTTTGGTGAGAACCTTCGAAGATTTTAAACTTAGAAAGTTCTTTTCACTTGTAAACAACCCAAATGCCCATCAATGATAGACTGGATAAAGACAATGTGGCACACATACACCATGAAATACTATGCAGCTATCAGATGCATTCACGTCCTTTGCAGGGACATGGATAAAGCTGGAAACCAACATTCTCAGCAAACTAACACAAGAACAGAAAACCAAACACCACATATTCTCACTGAGAAGTAGGAGTTGAACAATGAGAACACATAGACACAGGGAGGGGAACGTCACACACCCAGGGCCTGTTGCGGGTTGGGGGGCTAGGGGAGGGATAGCATTAGGAGAAATACCTTCTTTTGTAAAGTTTGGGTCCTTTGTAGGGACATGGATGAACCTGGAAACCATCATTCTCAGCAAACTGACAGAAGAGCAGAAGATCAAACACTGCATGTTCTCACTCATAGGCGGGTGTTGAACAATGAGAACACATGGACACAGGGAGGGGAGCACTACACACTGGGGTCAGTTGTGGGGAAATAGGGGAGGGACGGTGGGGGGTGGGGAGCTGGGGAGAGATAGCAAGGGGAGAAATGCCAGATGTAGGTGATGGGGAGGAAGGCAGCAAATCACACTGCCACGTGTGTACCTATGAAACAATTTTGCATGTTCTTCACATGTACCCCAAAACCTAAAATGCAATAAAATAAATAAATGGGAAAAAAAAGAGAAATACCTAATGTAGATGACAGGGTGACAGATGCAGCAAACCACCATGTCACGTGTATACCTATGCAACAAACCTGCATTTTCTGCACATGTACCCAAGTATTTAAAGTATAATAAAAAATAAATAAAGAGAAAATCCTTTTCAAAGACAACCTTATACTGAATTGTGAAATTGCTGTCATTACGATTCCTGACTCTTATAGGTCTTTCAATCATGTCTCAAACATTTATTCCACTCTCCCTGGCCACCCAAGGTGCCCTACAGAAGTTATATATCTGACACATAGTTAATGCTTTAAATTCAAAACATCCCTTTATAACTTGTTCCTCATATTTGTTTTCCTCATGACTCTACTCTTTTCTTGGAATTTATAGCATTATTCAGAGGTAATGTTCCTGTGAAATCATGTGTAAAGCAGTTTTTGACTATGGTAAAGTCATCTTAATTTAAATTTAAAATTAATGGCATTTTGATATATGTATACATTGTGGAATGACAAAATAAAATTATACGGAGTAAATAAATACAATTTTATTTGCCAATTAAAAAACAAAAAGCAAATGAATGGTGAAATGCTGGTTCTTGCAGGGAGATGATGGGCTTGTCCAGGATGCCAAAGTCTCAGAGTATTTCTCATGGCATCCTTTACAGCTATTCAAGCTCTACTCTAGGCATACTTGATTTTGTTGGTGCTTTTATCTTAAAATGATTATTGATCACAATCATACTTTATTATTCCATAATTGCTGTTCTCTGCATACTGAACCATAACTCACATGCCTTCTTGCAAGATAAATTCAATCTCTCACTTGAAGAGTGTACTATATTATTTTAACTTAAATTTATCTCCTCTTTTTGCCTTTCTGCTTATACATGAGAGTCTGAGGATTAAAAACTTGGCTGTCCAGTGATACCCATCCATTTGAGGAGCAGTGATCAGATTGTTTAATGATACTCTTTGTTTCTAATTGCTTGTTGTTCCATACACTAATCAACCTTTGACCGAAGACATTTTTCACGAACTCCCTTGGTGCACTATCTTTTCTTAGCTTCAGCTTTGGTTCGTGGTCTCTTGTTTTTCAGTCCATTACCTCCCGAAACTATTTGTGACTTGCCACTTTCTTTGTCCTTCAAAGTTTTATTCAACTTCAATAAAATATTTTTTAATATTCGTTTGTTTGTAAGGTAATATTTTTCTACAGCTCTGCAAGCTGTTTATGTTTTAAGCTATTTTACTAGAAAAGAGTAGAATAGTTAGAAAAAGCTTTAAAATAAAAATATTCCAGTAAGCTAAGCAAAATTTGTTATTGGAGAAATAAAAAATATTTTATTATAAATTTAGGGTAGCCTAAGTGCACAGTGTTGTATTAGTCCGTTCTCAGTCTGCTATAAAGATACTACCTGAGACTGCATAATTTATAAACAAAACAGATTCAATTGACTCAGTTCTGCATGACTGCGGAGGTCTTAGGAAACTTATAGTTATGGCAGAAGGCAAAGGGAAAGCAGACACCTTCTTCACAAGGCAGCAGGAAAGAGAGAGAGAGAGAGAGAGAGAGGGCGCACCGGGGAACTGCCAAACATTTTTAAAAATAAATAGTGAACTCACTATCAGGAGAACAGCATAATGGAAACCACTGGCATAATCCAATCACTTCCCACTAGGTCCCTCTCTTGATATATGGTGATTACAATTTGAGATGAGATTTAGATGGGAACACAGAGCCAAACCTTGCCAAATGTTTATAAAGTCTGTAGTAGTGTACAGTGATGTCCTAGGCCTTCACAGTCACTCATCACTCACTGACACCCAAAGCAGCTTCCAGTCCCACAATCTTCATTAATGGTAATGGCCCTATGCAAGTGTGCCATTTTTAAATTTTTTTAGTCATACTCCTACTGTTGTTTTTGTGGTTTTACATATGTTTAGATTTGCAAATACTTACCATTGTGTTGCAGTTACCTACAGCGTTCAGTGGAGTAACATGCTGTACAGGTTTTCAGCCTAAGAGGAATAGGCTAGTTGGGTGGTAGGCTACACCATCTAGGTTTGTGTAAGTATACTCTGTGATGTCCATACAATAACGAAATTGCTTGACGACGTATTTCTCAGACTGTGTCCCATTCTTGAATTATGCATTATTGTATTTGTTTTGTTTTGCTTTATAAATTTGGAAATTAAACTGTGGTAAAGAACACAATCTCTTGGAATGTAGTTAAGTGGATTAAGAAACTTGACTAGAATGTTTCATAGTTGTCAAACATTTGGCTTTGTTGTTTTGTACATTATGTAGCTCAATATCCACTTTGCTCATACAATTACACCTCTGTTTAATTTTTAGAATATTTTTTCTGTTATATATTAAATATATATATATATATATCCCAAATTAGAAAAGTTCATGAAGTCATATGATCAAAATTCCTCCAATTAATCACCAAATGATCTTGAACTTGACAAGGATGCCTACTTTTACCACTATTATTCACCATATTACTAAATGATGCACAGAGTCATAGCTTGTTGTTTTCTGGCAGGTCAGGCATTTATACTAATTGAGGAAATGACACATTCTTGGGCTCCCTTTTATACAATTGGTTTACAGCTGCATCAACCACATTCTGATGAGTCATACACACATGTATGTGTTTACATGTATATGCCCATGTATATATGTAATACTTATCTATATATGCTGATAGGTTTTTTAAATGGGTTTTAATCCACACTTTTTATTTCAAAAAATTGTCGAATTTTTTGGTGTTGTCCAAAACATATTTACAACTTTAGTAATAGCACTATTTAACTCTAGTTTGCAATGCAACTATGTGCTTGACGAAACATAAATATGTTTATAGCTGCACTTTTCAAAAACATGTTTATAAGCAAAGAAACATTTCTAGTCATAAAATTTTACCACTTTCAAGCATAGCAAACATGTTAAAATTCACCCTCATTAAAATGTAGGAAGAATCATCTTTTACAAAATTTACTTCACACTTCCTACTTAACTATTATGGGTAACAAACAGTTGTAAAAATAAATTCTAAAAAAAAATCATGTTATTTTGAGTGCCATTTTTCAACTTGTTTCTAGTACTATTTGGCAAATTTTAAAATACATTCATAAAAATATCTTTTGAAAATTTAAGATATCTAACTAAAGACAAATGCCTAAATATAATACAGGATTTTTAAAAACATGAAATAGAATTATTTAGATAAAAATTTTTTTTGATAATTGGCATCCAAGTGATTTGTACTTGAGGATAGCAGTTTGCTGGTGGCTCAAAGTAGGGGAGAATGGGGATAAAAAGGCAATAAAGTTTTGCAAAACAAAACAAAACTTAATAAAATAAAATGGTACATATGAAATTGAAAGGACATATGTAACTGAAGGTACATATAAAATACATAGAAAAGGCTATGACATCAGGAAATTTTTCATCTGAATTCTAACATTCTTTACAATAAAACACTGTAAATTTCCTTCCTCCCTTCTAATTATTCTATAATAGTTTAAATATTTTTTAAGGTGAATAGGTTTCTCAGTTTTACCTTTAGGGAAAGAAAATTCAACAGTAATTCCACATGCTTCACATCTAGAAATAAAATATACATATGATAAACCATTTCTGATGTGCAGTAAATGGTTTATGAGTAAGGAGAATGAATACAGCTTGATTTTTCCTGGCTCAAAACAATATCTAAGGCTGACTTATTATAAAAGAACTATTTTGAAGTAAAAAATAATTAGGTACGGAATAAAAAATGAAGAAATCTGTATTTCTGGAATTCATGTACATATCCAAAATAACCTAAAATAAAATTTGTCCTTGTGTGAATCAATAATCAAATTTCAAAATTACCACTGCTGTATAATAAGAATCTGCAACTAAACATTTTTTGTGAAGCTGAAGTAAAATAGAAACACTTTTATGTTAATTCCACATTTTAAAGTGACTTAGTGGAGGTAGAAGAAAGACCAAACCACAATAATATGAGAATCTCTAATTAGGCTAATTACCTGCCATATCTTCAGTGTCTTCTATAATAAACACTTTTGTTATGGAATTATATAGTTTAAAACTGTTTTGTCCTGGCTTTTTCAAAACTCATTTTTATAATAATAATTACTTAAGAGCAGAATTTGAATCTTTCATTCCAAATAAACTTCAGCGCTAATTAAATGCACTAAAGGTGATTTACAATCTTCCTCTGAAAGTGACACTCTTCACTTCCACCCAGATGCCATTCACCTGAGCAAATTTTGAGACAGCCTTTCAAGAAAAGGGTAGAATAATCCTCCTAAGGGCACAACAATCTACCACATTGTCTTTGTTCTTTATGGATGTATTCTTTCCTTCCATTTTGCCACACACAACTTCCATTGGCTTTCTGAT